AATATGATTGATTGTGTAAAGTAAGAAGCTTAAGTAGCTTTAGTTTTATAGGTACTTTTAAGAGTCACTTTAGAACACTGAAAGTGGCTGCATTTAATTCACATTATTCTTCATGCTGAGAGTTCAGAGGGTGATTACTGTGGAACCAGGTGTGCAAAACTGGCTGCAAAGTCATGTCCACTTGACACAGAGAGCGTGGCTCCAGAGGACACTGGGGAGAAGAGCCTCCACAGGGCAGAGTTGTGCATTTGGCATTGGTGGACAAGGTACAGTGTCTCCTCTTTTCAACCAAAGCCAAGATACTGCCTTTTTTAAATTATTTTAAACAGAAATTACAATTGAGGATCATTTTTTTGATGAAGAAACAGATAATAAGTAGGAAAGAGACTGGTGCAGGTCATCTGATGTAGGCTATGAAAAAACGGTATGTGACTTGGAGAGAAGACAAAGTTGGAATGGGGGTATGAAGAAGGCAACAGTGGTGGTCAGTCTGCTCTGGGATGTTAAATAACACCCAGGAATCTTGTCAAATGTCTTGCTAATATGTATCCATAAACTGCAAAGATGTTCTATTGTAAGCAAATTCACAGTTAACAGTGCAGAGATGTTCTCCTAAGTTAGCTGGAGTACAGTAACCACTGCAAGATGAAGGACTCTGTTGGTAACCAGTATCAGGATCATAGTTCTTTTGATTATTTTTAAATGTAATTTTATGATCCTCTGCCTTTGGGTGAGCTTTAAGAAAAACCCCCAAACCCCACCAGTGATAATTTTTAAAAGATTGATGTGAATTTGTGCAACACAGTATTTATCAAGTATTTCAGCACTTCAGTCCTTATTTTATAAAACATCAGGATGCTGTGATCTCACTGATGATGCATGTGTTTGATGTATCAGAAATGTTTTGATCAGCATTCATGAAGGTTTACATAAGGTGGTTCTTTCCTGCTGCAGTTTACCATGGTGTGTACTGTAAAACCAGTACCAGAAACTATATTGTACTTCTGTCTGGAGCTTTTGTACCTGGCAGCATATTCCTTATTTGTATTAAAGTAATGTCTATTCATCCCACTGGGGCTTGATTATAAGTGAGGCACGTAGTAGAGGAGGATCCTTGTCTGGAGAGCTGATAGCATGAATAGACAAGCTGGGTGATGTGGGGTGAGAGGCACAGGGAGGTGAAGAAAAACGTCTTACCAGTATTCACCCAGTGAGGTAGAAGAGAGCCCAGCTCCTTTGGCTCTGGCTGTTCTCAGTCTTCCTGTCAGGTGCTGAAGTTATAGGTAGTGGAAAATCTTGTGAATGTGTCAAAAATTAGTCTATGATATCAAGAGCAATCTTCAGCCCTTCTCACTGGTTAAAAAAGAAAGGATGGAGAACCTGAGGAATATATGAGTGCAAACCCTTCTGCAGGCTCTTGGAGCTGTTGCCTGTTTTCTTGGTAGAACAGCACCGGACACTGCAGGTTTCAAGGAGGGCAGGATTTATCCCACTATGGGGAATTTAGAGAAAAGGCATGTTTTGCATGTGCAAAAAAAAAAAAACAAAAGAAGGCACTGTGCTTATATTCCATGTTGAAACAATCATGGTATAGTGCAGTACAGGTAGTACAGAGGGCCAACTAAGTATTAGCTCCTGTGGGTTTGAAAATGGTGACTTTGGATAAGATACTCATATAATATTCATATAACCTTTGCATGATACCAGTTATCTATTAGACTGCATTTCTGACCTGCACCTCCCAGGAAACGAATACTTACTCCAGTGCAAAATTTCTTATTCTGCAAAGCTTGACAACTTCTTCTGAGATCACTCTGAGCCAGTTGGCCCTCTCTTAAATATTCATCAGACTTCTGATAATTGTGATAACCCTTATAGGCTGGCAAGCATGGCAAATTAGCAAAAAGATGATTGATCTTTTTTTATATGCAGTTTTATCTTCAACCTTTCCTGGATATATGTTATACTATAGTAATAATTTCTTCTCTAAGGTATTTGCCAGTATCTGGATTTGCACATCTATTTACAGTTGCCTTGAAGCCTCATAATTACAATACAGCTGAAATGTCCATTTTCTTTCCCTGACTACAAATAGGGATCAATCGAATTTTAAATGACTGCTTACGGGCTGGCTTCCGATCATGACCTTTGTAAATGATTAGAGCTCACCACTGTTGCTATCTACCTTGAAAGGGTAAGCGGGCAGGTCTGTCTAACTGGCATTTAATCTGGAAGAGAGCCAAAGATATTTGAGCTAAAAACCTAATATGAGTTGGCAAAGAGAAGTATGTATAGACCTTTGCACTATTATTTAGATATTTTTCTGCGTTTCTTTTTTTTGTATTTAGGAAATTCTTTTCTCCTCTAGATACAATATGTATTTTTAGGTAACGTTAAGCTGGAGTTATGGTAATAACTGCAGTTGCAGAATATATAGCATAAAAATGTGAAAAATGGGGTTTCAAACTTTTAATTACTGAATTCACTTTTTCTGAAGAATGTAAAAACATAGAATGGTTTGGGTTGGAAGGAACCTTAAAGATCATCTAATTCAACTCCCTGCCATGGGCTGGGACACCGTCCACTATCCCAGGTTGCTCCAAGCCCTGTCCAGCCTGGCCTTGGACACTTCCAGGGATGGGGCAGCCACAGCTTCTCTGGGCAACCTGTGCCAGGGCCTCACCACCCTCACAGGGAAAAATTTCTTCCTTGTATCTAATCTAAATCCACTCTGTTTGAAGCCATTTCCCCTTGTCTGTCACTACATGCCCTTGTAAAAAGTTCTTCTCCAGCTCTCTTGTAAGAGCCCTTTAAGTGCTGGAAGGCTGCGGTGAGGTCGCCCCAGAGCCTTCCCTCCTGCAGGCTCTCAGCCCTTCCCAGTTCTCTCAGCCTTTGCTCATGGCTCCACCTCTCTGGTGGCCTCCTCTGCACTGGCTCCAGTGGGTCCATGTCCTTCTTGTGTTGGTGGCCCAGAGTTGGAGGCAGCACTGCAGGTGGTCTTGCCAGAGTGGTGTAGAGGGGAAGAATCCCCTTCCTGAAAGAATTCCTGAGAGAATTCCCTGAAAGAATTAGAAGTGTCAAACTTCTAATCCACCAACACCCTCAAGGCTTTCTCCTCAGCCCTTTCTCCACCCAGCCTGTGTTTTGCTTGAGGTTGCCCCAACCCAGATGCAGGACCTTGCACTTGGTGTTGAACTTCATGGGGTTTGCAGGGGCCCAGCTCTCAGGCCTGTCAGGGACCTTCAGGATGGCATCCCTCCCCTTCAGCGTGTGACTGCACCACACAGCTGGGTGCTGGCAGCACACCTGGAGAGGGTGCATCGATCCCACTGTCCACGTCATCGACAAAGATGTGAAAATGTGCCAGTCCCAAACCCGACCCCTGAGGTCACCAGTTGTCACCAGTCTCCACGTGGACATCAGCCGTTGACTGCAGCTCAGAACAGCTCCTGGGGGTGTTGGTTGACAGCAGCTGAGCATGAGCCCGGGTGTGCCCACGTGTCAGAAGTAGTGACCAGGGCAGTGACCGTGCCCTGTGCTGGGCCCTGCTGAGGCCACCCTGGAGCACTGTGTTGGGGTTTGGGCCCTGATGCACTGACCTGCTGGCTGCAGTTCCTCTGTGCTGCTCTTCAGGTGCTCTTGGGTTCCCCTGCAGTCCCTCCTCAGGCTCTGGGCGTGTGTTGGCCTTGGCATCTTGGTAGGGGTGGGATGGGCCTCCACTGGCAGCCTGAGTTGAAAGCCCTCCCTGGGGAGCCTGTGGCCAAAGCTGTTCATAGTGCTTGGTCACAAGGATGTTGCACTGCTAAATGAATGAATCTGAAAACTGTGCTTAATGGGAGGCAGGAGGTGGACCTGCTTTCTCTGGGCAGACATGAATGGAGAAAAATACCCGACACTGGCACTTCTTAGCTTCAACCTCCTCTCCTTTTAACATCAGCCAAGATCATTCAGGCTCTGCTTGTATGTGCAGGTCACATGTAGGTGATGGCTGAGACACTTCTATCTGCTTGTCAGTTCAGTTTTATTTTAATGAAGAGTTTTGCCTGTATCATACATTGTTTTAATACCACCACTGAATTTCTTGAGGTGGTGTTCTGTGTGTTGCTGCTGAAGCAGGAACAAGTATGACATCAGTGGGATTAGAAAGCAAACACCTCCTCACAATTTGTTGAGGGGTTTTGCAAACCCAAAGTTTTGAAATTAATAAGAATTGTTGCTGAGAGCTATGAATGCTTTTATCTAATTAAAATAATATACTGCATTACCTAATCAATTACTCTTGTGTAGTATTGATGATCAGAATATTTATTAAAGTAATAGTGTTCATGGGACTCTGACACTTAGATTAACTCCTTGAAAGGATTATACAGTTTATGGTGAAGATCCAATCTTGCCTCTCTTGTGCTGGCCAGAGTATTTTCTCTTATTTTCTGTAGCATGTTACTTTGTTACATAGAGCAGCTGGCACGTTGTTTAATTCTTAGCTTCAAACCAGTCAAATGTGTTCTTACCTAAAGCTTAATCCCAGAAAGCAGTTGTAAATTTGGGTTGTAGAAGTTTTGTGTCAGAATTACCTTCAGCTAGTGTTTTGGTAGAGGTGTTTTATTAATTTAGATTTTCTTAAAGAAAATATTGAGTATTTGAAACATTTAAATATGAGATTAAAAAAAATTTCGTAATATTTGAATGGGCATTTACATTCTTCATGTCAGTATTAAACTGGAGATGTGTAGTTAGTATGTAGTACTTGCTAAGGCACTTTTTAATGAGAAGCATGGAGTTTCCAAAATCAGTTGAGTTATTTGGAAGCAGAAATCCTGTGAAAAGTCACGAGAACTTCTGTATCTTCATTATTCCTCTAGGAACAGTGACTGGGAACAGCAAGGTGCTGTCAGGGGTTGATCATGTGTGACTTCTGCCTCATGCTTACAGGTCTGAAAATAACATTTCAAAGTGACAACAGAATAAAAACTAAAGTGAGTTGTTCCTCTCTCTACCAGATGCAGCAACAAGAGCTGGCCCAGATGAGGCAGAGGGATGCCAATCTCACGGCACTGGCAGCGATCGGTCCCCGCAAGAAACGGAAGCTGGATACACCTGGACTGCTCTCCATAGGAGGGGAGGTATGTGCCTGTAGAGAGTGAGAGAGATTATTACTCCTAAACCTCGGAGGAACACCTAGAGTTGCTTATTCCGGTTGTTTTCCATGAACAGTGTAACTTGAAAAGGCACATTTCTCAATTAGAAGGACCGTGAGTCCAGTTTATCTTGCCACAGTTAAAATGCCATCTTCTCTTAGTTGTATTTTCAAGTATTAACTGTCAGCAGATAATTAAAGAATATTTTAAAAATATTTGAATGGGAAGTGTAGGTCTTAAACTACTCACTGCCTTGGTACCTGTTTTCTGCTCTGCATAATCCGAAGGAAAATGAAAAAAAAAAGAGTAGGGAGTGAAGAAGTATCCAGAAAAATATAACTGTAGTCTCACAGTTGGAACCAAGAGCTTGTAGTAATACCAGTAAGTGTGGCTTTGTGACAAATATGTGTCAAAACTTCTTACAGAATGTCAGGTTGTCCCCCACCCCTGCAAAGATAAGCTTATGATCATGCTCAGTTGTATGAAATTTCAATGAGAAGACCGTGTTCAGAAGTAGAAACAGATTTGTTAGCATGATTCTCCTGTTATCTCAGATGGAGCAGCAGCTGTACTGCACAATGGAATGCAAGGTCATCCAAAGCCTGGTGTGTGTTAACCAAGGGGCAGAACTGTGGTGACAGGGCTGCAGGACCTTGGGTAGCTGGGAAGAGCCCTGTGTTGCTCAACACAGATACAGTTGGGTGCTTTTGCTCCTGCTCTGCCTACACAGTGGAGTCAGAGAAATTCTCCCTATTATATGCCTGTTCTGAGGAAAGGCAAACATTTTGTTTTGAATAACTAAACTAACAGTTTTGGCTCAGACATTTGACTGTCTAAATGCCAGGCATTTCCAAAGGCCTTTTTGTTTCCCATTTTGGACAGCTTTTATCTGACTTCTCTCTTTTCATGTGCTAAGATTAGTGCTAGGGAATTAGCTGAGCTAGGAACAGAAGTGGATCTTGTTTACATTCTAAACTTGACTTAGGACTCCAAATATGTAGGAGGTGCTCCTGTTTCTGGTGAAATTAGTTTCAGACTAAGGGAGCTCCCTGTGTTTTGTGTTGTCCTGTTATTCCCTCCTTGTCATATGTTTGGTAAAGAATTTTGTTCTCCATATGCACCTGAAAGAAATCTCACACCAACAGGCCAGAAGAAGCTTTATTAGAAGCTCAACTGGACAGTGACAGCTTTGGCTGTCACTCATTTAAAAATAATTTGAACCTTCTAATAATACATGGATCCTTTCAGATTTTACCAAGTGTACCTTCCCTGCTTGTCTTCACTTGACCAAGGGAATATTTTCTCCCAAGTATCAGAATTTGATTTTTATTGTCTATTGACTCTTTTTTAAAAAAATGATCCTTTTGTAAGCTTTTACAGTTTGATGGACAAAACTGTGGTCACCTTCAGTGCAACATTTTATTCAGAGCTCTGCCTCAATGGGTTATTGATGAACAGCTTCCCTCTCTCCCTAGAAGCTCCTTATCTCCCAGTACAATGCTTCAAGGAAAGATAAAGGTCTGTGGCAAATTTCAAAGGCTTCTGGAGATTTTTGCTTCCTTTTGCTGCTCACCTAGCCCAGATTTTGCTAAACAACTGTATTGTTCAATTGGCAAATGATCCTTGGAGTTTTTGCCGATACATGGATTTCCTGGAGCCATGAATTGTGTGCCAGTTCAGACAGAATTGCTCCTGTCCCACTTCTCCCAGCTTCTGACCATCCTGGCCAGCTCACAGAGATGCCTGGCTGCAAGCTGATTTCAAGGTCTTGGATGCTGTATTTGCATTATTCAATGTCTTTTCTGGGGAACAGGACCTAAAGTGCTGTTAGAAGCTGTCACACAAGTTGGCTGCTAGAAACTCCCTTTCTGGTATTCTTCTGAGCTCATTTTAGGGCTGCTATGCAGAAATAAACTCAACTCCTCCAAGATGTTTTACTGTAAAAGGTAGTGAAATGTTGTATTTTTTGTCTAAGACTGTCTGATATCTCTTCTTTGGATTTCTGGAGATTATAAACATTGTTATGAGGCTGTTCTGTGGTACTGACATCCACCTTCAGATCTCTGACCTCCACTGTGGTCTATGACACTGATTTCTCTAAGCAATTTCTAAGCTGCTTAAAGCCCTTGCTACTGATAATCTCTGCTAGCAAGGTCTTACTTGGCCAGAGCTTCCTTGGCCTGCCTTTTTTTTTCTGAGTCAAAATAGCCAGTTTTTGAATTGAAGTTGCTAATCTCCTCATTAATCTTTTTCTACTTACATGTCTGCTTTTGTTGCAACTGAGACACTGCCCAAATGCTGATGCAAAAGGAAATAATTTACAAATCATCCCACCCTGGCATGGTACATTTTTCTCCCTTTCTGAACTAACTCTTGTTTGATATTTTACTTCGTTGCATTGGCCATTTTTCAATGAGAAGTGTTGGGTTTCAGTCCAACTTCTTTTTTTTAACAGAAATACCAGCTCACAATTTCTCTTTGGAAATCGGATCTTTTTAATGATACCCTTTTGATCTGAGCAGGAGGTCAATTTAGGGGCTACTGATGGATATTCTGTTTAAGACGAAAAGCTGATGGAAAAGCTTAGTGTTCCTGTGTTCAAGTACTGGTTGTTGTATAGAGAGAAATCTCTTCTACAGCTTTTATAAATGTGAAAAAGCTTGTACTCATAATTGCCTATATTTTCCACCAGCACTTTGTTCAAGAGTGTTTTCTTTAAACTTGTTCTCTGTCTCACGTTGCCAGTGCTCATTTGGACTTCCTGGCTTGTTTTCAAGCCGTAGCTAAAATAGACTTTTTTTTTGGATGGCAGGATTATCATAAGACCAGGCCCATCATTTTTCTCTTCTGTACTACTACAGCTAACTTTTTTTTGATTACTTTTACTTGGGGACATGGAAAATGGGCAGTTTTGGAGTGAGGTTATTTTTACATGCTTTTTAAAAAATTTATTTTTTTTCTATATGCCACCGCCATATAAAAATGCCTTTCCAAAAAAACAGGAAAAAATATTTTCTGGAAAAGTGGATGAGCAGGAGCTGGATGTTCTGAAATGACACTGCCACCACGTGTGTGACCAGTTGCAGACTGTCAGTAGCCTCAGCCAATCTGACTGTGACCCGATCCCAATCCCTGGTAGTGCATTCCTGCCTCTTCCCTTTGATTGGCTCTGGCTCTTGTTGTACCCTGAGCTAACCCATTTCCATGTGATAAATAGGAAGAAGACTAACCTAACAACAATAAAAAGTGAATAGTTCCTGCTTAGCTTGTTGAAGCAGTTTGGCCCAGAGCCCAGTGAGCACTGGAAAGGAACTTCCAGCAAGACAGAGACAGCAAACGTGAGATCACCTGCACTTCATTCCCTTCCTTTTTAGTGCCTTTCTTGTCTTCTCGTATTTTAGATGATCTGCTGCAAACACAGCTGCCTCTGTAGCAGCAGCAGCTCATCAGTAATTCAGCCTGCTTATTATTATAATGTGGTTTAGATCAAGAGGAAAAGAGAAGAGGTAAAGAGAAACGAGATACCTTTGGAAGGATTCAGCTTCTCTGCCTTGCAGTTGAAAATATTGCATTTGCAGAATTTTTTAGGGACTTTTCATTTATTTAATAACAGTAGACAAAATTTTTTGGAAAAAGTCACAGCTTCTTGGAATTGAATGCATGATTATCAAGTTGGGTATCTAGCAGTCCTGAACCATGTGCAGGGACACACATGGTACCCCTGCAGTGGAGGCAGAGAGAGGGCAGTGGGTCACATATACAGGTTACAATGCACAAAGCAGCAACCACTTCAGCTCTTTAGTGAGCATCCTTAGGCACCTCTAATGTCAGATTAAATATAGGAAGTTTTGAGTTGCTTTTGTTTACCTGAGTTGCTTTTCGTTTGATTTCAGATCTATCCAGGTCACATTTTCAGTGGTTTTTTTCTTGAATTGTAAGGCTTTTAAGAGTTAGGATTCAAATTTGGTTTTGTTTATGAAATAGGTATTTTCACATAATTGTGAGAGTTAAAGCTTTAAGAAAAGGATTAACCATCCCAAGATTGGGTCAGGTAGCTTTTACAAGTTAAATATCTGGGTAGTGCTAAGGTGGCATGAATGCAGAATTTGCATATTTCCAAGTCCCTCATTTTTTATTATGGAATTAAAGTGTAGAATTTAAATGCAAATATTTTGCTGTATTTAATAATAATAATAATAATAATAATAATTTGCTTTTTCATTGAGACCTATGGCTAGTACCCCAAAATACATAAATACAGAGTATATGTTTGAAATATCTGAGGGTATAATTTGTTTAAATATCAAGTGAAAGCCCTCTCCTGGTACTTGCTGGCACAGATGGTTTTTGAATACTGAGCTTCCAAAGGCAGCTTCAGGGCTAGTTCAGTGAATCACCACTTATTGAAGACAGTCATTTTAGGGATAAGAAAAAACCCTCTTTCTCACAGCAGAAGAGCAGTCATCTTAAGAATATGCAGCAGAGTATCCCAAACACCATCTTTCAAAATGTGCAGGACCATATGTTGGGCCAGTGCTCAAGGGAGATCTGATCCTCTCTGTGTTTGCTCATCCAGTATATTCCAGCCATTATAATAGTCCAGAAGGATAATGTTCTTGCAGACCTGGAAAGTCCCAAAACTACAGTTAAAACAGGGATGTTTTGTGTGGAGAAAAGCTAATTACTGAAGTGATTTGGAAGCGTATTTCGGGTACGAGGCACCACATTTTTTAATTAAATTAATCTTTAAGACGATTTAATTTGAGTATTTTAAAGCTGTTTTTGTGTTTAGGTTTTGTATAAAACATGATTAAGGTGCTGGTTTAAGACTTGTAAGTCTGTGTTATACCAGGGGCCTCCCAATGCAGGCATAAGAGAAGTTACTTAATACTCCTGTCTATCAGGTCTTTATGCCATTAGTAACTCCTGATTTCTAAGTGAAAATGTAAGGATGGATTCATGACTATTTGAGAAGCACTGTGACA